GATCACCGACAGGACCAACTGGATCCCCGACAGGACCAACTGGATCACCGACAGGACCAACTGGATCCCCGACAGGACCAACTGAATGCCCGACAGGACCAACTGGATCACCAACAAAACCAACAAAACCAACAAAACCAACAAAACCAACAAAACCAACAAAACCAACAAAACCAACAAAGCCAACAGGACCTCCATGTCACTAATCAACAACTTGACAAATTAACTCTTTAACAGCAAAGGCTTAAACAACGCCCAAACCTGCACTATTTTCGAAGGAATCAAAAAGTTATAATTAAAAAAAAATTTAATACACAAATGTTAAAAATGCACTAATATATATTGATATTTGCACTATAAGACAAATTGACTTGTAATTTTTGATCAATAATGAAATAAATAATAGCATGCAAAAATACATATATATGTACACGTAAAAATATTACGTATACACATATTTGACACGTTCTATGCCGGATTTTCGATGACTTTCCGTTCATGCTGCGCGGATCGTACACGCGGATCTATTTTATCAGAATTAATCATTTTGCTTGACATATGATTTACACTATTTATAATACTACAAAAATCATACAAATATTTTTATAAAACATTTTGAATGGCTTGAACGGAAAAATCAACGCGGGGCGTATGCGACCTACGCGGCACGGAACGTATCAATTTTTCACACGTATCAAATTTTCAAGCATCCAATGTGCGAAAGGATCACGAAACGCCCAAATTGTGTCTTTTTTTATCATAAAAAGACAATCTACAACCGAGAGGCACACGCGCGCGATATATGCGATATGCGCGGATGTTTCAACAAACGATCACGAATCGAAATATTCGACACGTCGCACGACACGCTGTGTAACGCAATTTCGAATCTTCGCAGTTTCAACTCTCTCTCGGTAAGATATTTTTGTCTGTGCGCTTTTAAGTTTTAATTATACCTCAATCGCAGTTTGCTCATGACTGAACTTTTTTTTCCAAACAATTTCCCAAGAAATAATGTTAAGATTGTCACTGTTCGAAAAACCGATAAGTCACACTTACTTGGTGGTACGTGTCCGAGTTGAGCGGCCGCGCGTGCGACACATGCGCGATATATATACATTATGTTATATATATATATATATAACATAAAAAAGTCGCTAACTAGTTTCACATTATTGGAAACTTCTGTCGCAACTGAGCGGACGAGTTCGTACGGTTCTTTGCCTGGATACGGAGTTGGAATTAAGTCTCGGAAAGAGAGAGAGAGAGAGAGAGAGAGAGAGAGAGAGAGAGAGAGAGAGAGAGAGAAAAAGAAAGTACAGCGACCAATTGACGATAGCTCGCTCGCGGTGACAGCGAAAATTCTCACATGGCGAAAAGATGAAACACGTTCAGGTTGCATATGTTCGATAGTTTTCTTAGCAAAAAATTTAAGCGAGCGAAACGGTTGCGTGGTTTTCTTCTTCTTTTATTGCGATTTGTCGATAAGGATGTTTTCTCAGTACGGAACGAGAATGTACGTATGAACGCAAAAGGGGGATTTGAAGCAAATGAAGAAAATCTGGTAGCTGAAAGCAGCCGAGACGGTCGGAAGGAAACTCGAATGGAACAATAAAAGAAGAAAAACATATATTAACTATAAGGACGTAACTCTTATTTCTGTGTGTTCTAATGCCATTTCTCTCTCTCTCTCTCTCTCTCTCTTCCCGTAAAACAGTGTCTTTTATTCAAGCGGATGTTAAAGTTACGCAATAAATGCGAATGTATATAAAGACGAAGACGGGAGGAAGTTATAACCTTTGGATTTTAATTCTTAAATGCAAGAGATCGGGATATGGGATTTCTCATGAAAATGGAGTAGCTTTCCGCGGCGAGGCTTTAAAACGCACGGATAAGAATTGTATTGCGAGCGCGGTACTAGTTCGTATAAGCTCGTTTATCATTCGCGAATAGGGATAAAAATGTCTGATAGCGTGCGGCATCGTTTATCGCGTTTTAGAATCGCCGACTGTATAAATTCGAATATTTTCCCCTTTCCCCGGAGAGATTTTTATTTCGACAAATACACATCTGATACGCGGCCAAAAATTTTCCCACTTCCAGCGCGATATCCGCGCAACGGCGGAACGCACAATCGCTCTAATTTACCGCCGCCGTCGTCGCCGAGCGAAGCCCTCATCTCTCGAAAAGCGTTTGAAGTTATATACTCTACTGCAACTCGTTTCCCACCACCTGAGAAGTTCCATTTCGGGGTTAACTCTCTAATCCACTTTGACCGCGAAGTAGTTTGCTAAATACTTTCATCAATCCTTCTTCTTGCGGCTTTGATCGCGACTTGATACTCATTGTTCTTACTCGTGTTGAAAACTCTTCCAGATTCTACTTCCGACAGACAGCAGCAATATCTACGTAAAAGAAAGAGATAAAGAGAGAGAGAGAGAGAGAGAGAGAGAGAGAGAGAGAGAGAGAGAGAGAGAGAGAGAGAGAGAGAGAGAGAGAGAGACATACACACAATTTGGCGCATATGATTGTATCAGTAGTTTAGTTAGATCGCACTGTTATAGCTGAAATATGAGAGTAATTTAAAAAGTTTTAAGTTTTTAAGTGTCAGCTCTCTCTTTCAAAGAATACGAAAGAAATTTGTGTTTCAAGCAGCAAATTATTTAATTTCGAAAATGTCCAACGTAGTCACCACGTGCTCGTTTATTTCTTCCGCGAATATTATTAAAAGTTTCCACCGGTTTTCCAAGGGTAATTTAACCAACGTCAAAGAAGACAGAACAACAAAGGAAGTTGGTTTAATGTAAATAAACTGCCGCGCGAGCGGAACTTTGTCTGTTTTTCATAATAATGTGTTCGCAAATATATCGAACGCATTAATTTAACATTTGTTTCTCTCTGTGTCCCCCGATATAGAAAAAAGTTCATGTGTTCGAACAGAGAGAGTTGGCAGTTTTCAAGAACTTATAAATTTAAGTATTTATAAATAAACTTTTTCATGTAAGTGTGTGTGTGTGCGTGTGTGCGCACAAACTTAACGAAATTATTGTCTTACGATACATCGCGGCGCGCACAGTCCATTATTTCTTCGCAAACATTATTAAAACTTCCAATTTCTTACAACCAATTTCTATCTTTCAACGTGTAAAGTTTATCGGTTGAAGCGTCGGAGCAACAGAGTAAAAGTAATTCACCTTGTGCCTCCGAGGAGAAAGAATGAGAGAGAGGAAGGAGGAAAAAGAAGAGGACGATGGACGGAATTGCAATAGTTTCTCGAAATTTTCGCGCGCACATGAAACTTTAACAGACTATAATCGTGTGTGTGTGTGAGAAAGAGAGAGAGAGAGAGAAAGAAATTCGCGATATTGGGAATTCACAAATTGTTCTCTCGCGAAGCTCATTGCCGCACTTCAAAATACGTATTTAAATTAGTCAAAAATTTTGTGGAAGAAATTGTCGATCGAAAAAATTAACGCTCAAACGTACGGTACATCGGCAAGTCGCGTTTTTTCGAAGTTTCTTCCCCAGCCGATCTTTTGCTTACGTGATGCGACTTGAGTGTGTGCTTCGCGTCGTTGCTATCCGCGCAATACGCTGTTTAATATTGGGCCGTTTAAAGCCCAGCTTGCGGTCGCGGAACACTGTCGGTCGTTCTCTTTAATGGTTATTGGCTCGCAGTAATTCTCTAATCTCTGCTGTCAGCGGCCTCTGTGTTTCCGTTTCAATATGGCCGTTCCACGGATTACGAGCGCGGGCCTTGCCACGCGGTGTCGTAGGCAGCTGCCACTAGAACTTGATTACTTCGAGGCTTATCGAATCATCCGCCGGAAAATCAGAGAGAAATAAGCGTACACTAAGAAACCTCGTGTTCTTCTGCACATTAGCTCCTCGATGACGATCCATCCGATTCAATTGTTCGCATCGCACATTCGCAGGAACGAAGAAGGAAGACAAAATTTGTGCGAGAGAAACTTTTAATTAACCGAGAGAAATTAACTTTTCTTCCTCGCGTATTTTTGTAAAATACTTGCAAATTTTCTATCGCACATATTTGTTGGAGTTAATATACAGCTTGGTGTGTTTTTTTATTTGATATTTTGTACCGTTTACGATTTGCGATACGTTGTGTAAGGAATCGATGGAAGGATTTCGGCTGAGAGCTGATTAATGCGCGACACTTGTTAACTGAGTTCATACATACATATTAACACTGATACAAATTGAAATAACTACTTTGTTGCGCGGTTAGATCGGCTGCTTAGGAATCGCGCGTCCTGACTGCTCGCAGACGATTAACTTTTGCTCGCTATTTGCCGGCAGTCGCTAGCTTATGATCGGGAAGAATCGGCCAGGCCGATCACCTCAGCGAGAGCTATTTATCTCTTGGAACATGTCGTACGTGTATGTACGCGTGAACAGCTGTTGCTTTTCGTAAATCTCGAATATTCCTTAACAGTTGTGTTACGCCACGTCCTTGAAACCTTGTTTCCTTAGAATCGAAATGTTAACGGAACAATTCGCGCTTGAGGGAGAGATAATAACGGAGCTATTGTTGTAAAGGCAGTTTGACCTGACATCGGGGTGCTTAAGCGCGTACACGGGTACTTCCAAATATAATAGCGGATCCTTCGCTAAACATCGCTTAAGCCAGCCAGAGCTCTCGTAGGCAGAGCTCTTCTTAGAGGATTTCAAAAGCAGCCGAATAAAGCTACCGCTAGTAAACACTAGCTTACACGTTGCTTTGCGACGAAATTCGGCTGATTAATTAAACGTCTGGGGGGGGGGGGGTTGCTGTCGCAATGGTTCATGTAAAATGTCACGAAACATCGAACAAAAAGTTCAAATCGCTTGAGATTCTCTGAAAATCGTTGTCTTAAAATATTATTTTAACTATGTATTACGTATATTATATTACACAATAGAGAGTATTTTTCAAAGATTATGTCGAGATTGATCGCGTCAGATTGAAGGTTTTTTTATCGAGTATATTAAAAGTCAGAATACGCGCTTTACCCTTTTTACTGCCGCACGAGAGGAAAACGAGCGTTAATACGCGTGAAGATTATACTCGCCGTGGTGTTGTAATTCGAGCGGGACATTTATGGCGTGATAGCATATTGTGACATAATGTCTAAGTATCATATATATTAATATACGCACGCTTTTATTGTACGATAACGCACATCCTCTTTTTGCGACTAAAAAA